AGAGGAAATATTTACAATGAATATCAACAAAACAAGGGAGCACGGATGGAAGCTTGAGACTCAGATGTGCCATAAAGATGTTAGAAAGTTTTCTTTTATCGTAAGTAGTGAGTAAATGGAATGACTAAAAGGAGCAGACTGTAGAGGCTAACTTCATTAATAACTTTTAAAGCTGGTATGATAAGGAAACTGGTCAGGAGTCATTGTATTAGGCAACCACCGGCTAGAAAAGCGGGGTCCAAGTGCTCGAGCTCGATCCTGCAGGCACAAATAGGTGAGCGCCCACACAGTGATACACACTACCAGGTGGCTTTCTGCCCAGATGGTGTCATTCCTATAGTGATGCCTTCACTCTAGGTTACTTAAGACTCCCTCAGCACCATTGAGCCCAACCGAGCACCACTGAACCCATCTGAGCACCACTGAGCCCACCTGAGCACCACTGAGCCCACCTGAGCACCACACTATACCTTACAATAAGACCTTCCATAGTACCCCCCCCCTCCCTTCTAGTGCTCCTGAACACCCTTGAGCACAGTTAAGCGCCGTGAGCCCCGCCCGGGCCACCACCACAGCCAAGATAGAGTGAACCACTTCACACAATCACCCACAATCACCCACAATCACCCACAATCACCCACAATCACCCACAATCACCACCTTCATCTGAACCTCACCAGTCGCTCTAAAAAAAAAAAAAAAAAAAAAAAGATTTACAGCGATATATTTAGATATCAGAAAATACAATAATTTTGTCCACATTTTGGAGCGTACAAACGCTGCCTTAATTAATCAGCTGTAAATTAGTCCATATGGATCATGTGCTATGGTAATTAGGATACAATTAGGCAGTTCCCCCACTAATCTATAACCTAGCCTAGCTGTCACGGGCTGCTTCCTGGGGGGTGGAGGCCTGGTCGAGAACCGGGCCGCGGGGACACTAAAAGCCCCGAAATCATCTCAAGATAACCTCAAGATAGCCTAACTCAACCAAAAATTCAACCTAACGACTGGCGTAATATTTAATGATTTAGAAAATGAGTTGTGTGTTGTTGTACGTTAAGCATGTACAGTGTTATAAAAACAACATCAGGTTATTATACACCAACAAACATGGAATTAAAACCCATCTCTCTTGTTTTTGTTAGGCCAGACTAGACTGTAAATAGGTTTAAAGTATAGCAACAGCATAGATTGACAACTTTCGACCAGTTTTGTACCCATTGGGTCCGAGACGGTTGGGTACACGCCAATTGTACAAGGTTACGCTTAACAGCCAATTACGGCAAGTCGTTAACTGTGACACTATAATGACTGGCGGATACTTTGAGAGTTTGGAAAGATTTGCTATTTAACAGAACCGATGGGGGGTGTGGTGGTGGTTGGGGGGGGGGGTCGTTGGATGGTGGTAGTGAGGTGGTGGTGGGGGGGGGTGGTTGTGGTCGTTGGAGGGGTGGTAGTTAAGTGGTGGAGGCCATACTAGCGTATAATGCATCATCACATGTTGCCGTCAAGAATCCCCCGACGGACAAAATATGATGTATTATAAATCATATCGGATCACAAACGCTCCACGTGATCTATGCGCGGAGGACATCAGTGACGTTTAAAGGTCGTTGACCTTTACGGGGGGCTATTCATGCCCGTGCCGCCTCTTGGGTGGCTTAATCTTCAGCAATTCCGCAGGGGAGCCCCGGGTAGCCTTAGGTGTTCAGGGGTAAACAGGGGACCATAGGCACCTATATGATAAAAGGTGTCACCGGAAATATATCCCTCCCCCCCCCCATTAAAGGATATTTTCCCATTGAAAAAGTATATCTCTTAGTGAAAGGTTTCGACCGTATTAATGGGTTCATCCCCATTCAACTTGGCCCTAAGTTTGCCGGTGGCTTAGGCCCTAAGCCTATGGCTGACCCATTAACATGAACTGCCTGAGTACATTATTAACTATCCCATGAAGCTAGAGTTTGTTAAGGCTTACGTAAATATTCGAAGCAGTGTGGGCCACTTAGGTCTATGTAATCTGATAAGATAGTGGGTATTTTAGCCCGTAATCTTAGATAGGCCTACCGTGTCAGTATGGAGTCAGATTTAACTAGTTACATTAACAAAAATAAATGACTTTTGAGGACCGAATTTTGATAATGAATTTGATGAAACGTTTATTAAATCACATTAAAAGATACTTTCATCGTTTGTATTAGAAACAAGAATGTTATATTCATTTTAATAATACAAATAACAAAAAATCTGATTTAAACTAAACATAATCTATTTTATCCATATTTTTTTTTTTGCGTAAGTAGTAGTAGGCATCCACCAGTCTCAGGAGACTATGGAGTTGGGCTCTGGTTGTCGGTCTGAAGTGGTCTCTCCAGGGCGTAAAGTCAGGGTAGGTTGATTCGGGGGGAGAAGCTGTTACCCAAGCAGCAGGTCCCCCCTCTCCACGGCGCTGGAATATATCAGAATGTTATCAATACTTCATGTTCTATGTTTCACACTGTAGGAGAGGGAGGTCCCAAAGTTATTATAACAGGAAAGGAACGACTGTTGTCTCTGTCGTCACCGTGTTTTACTTATCAACGTTTCCAGTTGATAATGCAAGCATAGGCCTATGGGCCGGCAAGCATAGGCCTATGGGCCGCGAGTGGATACAGAGCTTGTGATAAACGTTTTAATACCGTAACAATCTTGACTTAGTTCAGGGTACCTGTTTACTGCTAGGTGAACAGGTGCATGAGGTGAGAGGAAACGAATCCATTTCTGTCCTGCCCGGAACTCAAACCGGGAATTCTCTATTTTAAGTTTTAGTTTTAAGTTTTGCCCCGAGGGGCCAGTTTATTGGGCAGCGCCACTCATCCTGTGAGTGGACACGCCGCCATAGCAGCATGTACAACACTCCCCAATAGGAAGAAAACCCGGTGGGTTGTTCATCCTGTCACTTGTACCCAGACACAGCTGGGTCTTGCTTAACTGTCTCAAGTGAACAGCTTATCAAACACGAAGATTAACATTTGTCAACCCTTAAAAACTTCCGTTATCTTGCGGGTGTAAAAGGGGTAATCTTTTGAGAACAGCATTTATATTTGACAGATAGTATTTTCCTAACTCAAACAATGTGGGTTTATTATGCTACACACACTTCTAATGTCTCTCAAGTGTTCACATTCACGTAGATAGTGGTCAAGGCGGTGTCCGTCAATCTCTCCACAGATTCTGCAATTCCTCTACTCAGCTGTTTCCATCCCGAATCTCCATGGATATTTGTATCCAAGACGAATTCTTGCTATTGCTGATTCTCTCCCGCGGCCACCTCCTCTTCGTCCATAATGATTGGGATTGCCAGCTGCAACCATATTGTACCAGCATACAGGTTCACTGGTTTGTGCTTCTATCCTCCTTTCCTCAGTTACCTTGTCACGGTGATGTTGCCTGACAATACCTATAATTTGTAGCAGAGTCTTGGGTATGAAGTATTCAATATGGTCTCCTTCAGCGTCTTCAGCAGCCAGCACATCTGCTCGTTCATTTCCAAAGACTTCAACATGGGAGGGGATCCACAGGAGTTTGACCACTCTTCCCTGATTGGTTCGTACTCTCACAGTTCTCTTGATTTCAGTGTTGAAAACGAATCCGACTGATCTACGGAGACCCTATGATTTAAGGCACGCAAGTCGAGCTTACATAGGTCTAAGCTCGATAAAATAAACATGGTGACCCGATATGGTTTAAAGTACACGTGTCAAGCTTATATAGGCCTACGCTTGATATACAAGGTTATCATCTTACCCCCCCCCCACACACACACACTAAAAAATATTGTCAACTGTGAATTAAAAAACTGGTGGATGTCAACCAACAAACTCACACTAAACATAGATAAGACCTACTACATTCTATTTGGTATTAAACCATTATATCAGATTCAACCTCAGATAGACAATATTAATATTACCAATACAAATGAGGGGTATTGACCTATACGGTGGGACATAGGGGGACTGAACAAGAGACTCAACTTCAGCACCACATACAACACATAGCCAAAAAAGTCTCAAAAAAACAAAATACTTTCTAAAATCAGATATTATGTTCCGCACTCTGCTCTCCTCCCATTATACTATGCACTACTCTATACGGTATCATGTGTAGCATGCATAATCACTGAAAATTACCTCACGTCTATCAGAACTATAACAAACTCTCTTTTCAGACAGCACACAGCCCCCCTGTTTAAATCCCTTAACATGCTACACATACACTCATTCCACATATTCTCATGTGCTATTTCCATGTACAAAACCTTGTTCCTAAATGTTACTCTTGATCTGAAACTTTTTCTTCATGTAATAGAACCCATGAGCACCACACCAGAAATAAATATCTCTTTGACATCCCGAGAGTCAGACTAAATCTGTGCAAACACTCCATGCAAATAAAAGGGCCCAGTCTTAATTAATCAGGGAAAATTAATCAGTTAATTCATCAGGGAACTCACTCCCTGATGAATTAAAAAAATTCCAACCCATGCCCTGTTGAAACGTAAAACCAAAAAGTACCTAATTTCATCCTCATAGTTTCCTTGTACTTCAAACTCACACTTTATCTTGTACTGCCCACTGTACCAATATTAGTACTTAATTTAAGACATATATCCTTACTAGTGCAATCACCTGTCAACTTATGTTGTAGTTATTCGTTGATATAAAAAAAACCTTACTACAATGTACCCTTTCATCTTACCTGATATTTTAGATTAAAATAAAAATTATTATTATTATTATATGGTGACCTGATATGGTTTAAAGTACACGTGTCCAGCTCATATAGGCCTACCCTTGATAAAATCAACACGATGACCTGATATGGTTTAAAGTACACGTGTCGAGTTAAAGTAGGCCTACCCTTGACAACATAAACATGCCGCTCCAATATGGTTCAAGGCACACGCGTGGAGCGTACACAGGCCTACGGCTGACAACAGACAGGTGTCGTCCTACCTTTGCCGTTGGCAGTAATGATGGCGTGGATACCGTTCATGGCTGGAGTGAGAGGTGGGAGGCGGCGGCGGCGTGGTGCGTAGCCTCGTGTGGACGGACTAACACTGCGGCACCTGCCACCAGCACATACACACACCGCCCTGCCCACTGCCCTCCGCCTGAGCCCACATATTACCCACAAAGCCCCGGTCATCACCCACTTACACCCCCTAACACCACCTGCAACTCCCCCCGTACTAACTCCCAAGGGGAAAATTCCGATCAGCTGATCAAACCTGGGGCTGGGGACGAGCCCGCTGCCGTGGTCCCGAAGACCACCTTGGGACGAGACCGCTCTCACTCGCCGCCAATATCGTTCACAAATTGAGCGAAACGAACTGAATTTCTACCCCATTTCCCCCCAGAGATATATCTAAGCGATAGATGTAGGCTTATACCTGAAAAAAACGATACAATAATATCTAGTACAATACACATATGCACGTGGCTCTGATATGGTAACATGATTGACACAGCCCATCATCTTCCTGACGAAATTCAATGCACACTTGAACGATGACTTAAGATAAGAGCTCATTTGTTTCATTTGACTGACGTTTCTGAGGTGACAAACTCCAACAGGGCAAAAACAAAGCAAAAATTACGAAATAAAATAATATCTTGCTAATGCTCGTAAATTGGGATGTTAAATGATGAAATATTGCATATTATTTTTATTGTCAATAAATAATACTTTTAACTATTTGATTATTTATTGAGTGTAAAAATAATGCCACACAATTATCAAGGTGCAACGTATTATTAATTCGGCTTGGTTGTTCAACTTGCAAAATTTGTGCAAATATATTTTTGGGACACGTGTCCAGCTGATGGCAATTGCAGAATATATATATATATATATATATATATATATATATATATATATATATATATATATATATATATATATATATATATATATATATATATATATTAGTGTATTTTGGTAGCAGTCTTTCCTGTAGACATATATTATTAAATATGACCGAAAAAGTAAGATTAATAATTCTAACACGAATTTTCTCAATCTTTCGTACATTTCTTTTCACTGTTGGAGGTAAATCAAAAATCAATTCTCCAAAATTCATTTTTATTTCTAGTCTGACGCGACACTAGCGCGTTTCGTAAAACTTATTACATTTTCAAAGACTTTAGTTCACAAATACACAACTGAATAGAACTTACGCATCTCCGTTTTTATATCTACATTTGAGAGAGGTGGATGGGGTGATGTGGCATTAACACAAGACAGAACAAGAGGTGGCATTAATAGGGTATTAATTTCATCAACACAAGACAGAACAAGAGGTGGTATTAATAGGGTATTAATTTCATCAACACAAGACAGAACACAAAACAATGGGTATTGAATAGAAGTGATTGTAGAAAGCCTATTGGTCCATATTTCTTGATGCTTCTATATTGGAGCGGAGTCTTAAGGTGGGTAGAATATAGTTGTGCATTAATTGGCTGTTGATTGCTGGTGTTGACTTCTTGATGTGTAGTGCCTCGCAAACGTCAAGCCGCCTGCTATCGCTGTATCTATCGATTATTTCTGTGTTGTTTACTAGGATTTCTCTGGCGATGGTTTGGTTGTGGGAAGAGATTATATGTTCCTTAATGGAGCCCTGTTGCTTATGCAACAGGGCTTATGTTTGCATAAGCAACAGGGCTCCATTAAGGAACATATAATCTCTTCCCACAACCAAACCATCGCCAGAGAAATCCTAGTAAACAACACAGAAATCATCGATAGATACAGCGATAGCAGGCGGCTTGACGTTTGCGAGGCACTACACATCAAGAAGTCAACACCAGCAATCAACAGCCAATTAATGCACAACTATATTCTACCCACCTCAAGACTCCGCTCCAATATAGAAGCATCAAGAAATATGGACCAATAGGCTTTCTACAATCACTTCTATTCAATACCCATTGTTTCGTGTTCTGTCTTGTGTTGATGAAATTAATACCCTATTAATACCACCTCTTGTTCTGTCTTGTGTTGATGAAATTAATACCCTATTAATGCCACCTCACCCCATCCACCTCTCTCAAATGTAGATATAAAAACGGAGATGCGTAAGTTCTATTCAGTTGTGTATTTGTGAACTAAAGTCTTTGAAAATGTAATAAGTTTTACGAAACGCGCTCGTGTCGCGTCAGACTAGAAATAAAAATGAATTTTGGAGAATTGATTTTTGATTTACCTCCAACAGTGAAAAGAAATGTACGAAAGATTGAGAAAATTCGTGTTAGAATTATTAATCTTACTTTTTCGGTCATATTTAATAATATATATATATATATATATATATATATATATATATATATATATATATATATATATATATATATATATATATATATATATATATATGTGTGTGTGTGTGTATATCACGAAAATAAACACGTGATTAAGAATGTGACAATGTCAGACCACGGAGGAAAATGAAACAGGATATATATATATATATATATATATATATATATATATATATATATATATATATATATATATATACAATTTGTTGCGAATTGTTTAATTGCGTAAAATACGCGATGTGAGAGGACCCCGGGAGGGGGGGGGGGGGAGAAGGGGGAGGGGGGCAACCATAACACACACGATAGAAAACGGAGGTGGTACAGCAGTCCGGGGGAGACTCTAACAAAGGTGAGACTCCATGAGACTACTCTCTCCCACACACACACACTCACATCAGATAAGGTGAAGCACCGACGACCTTTCGACAAGCCGACGGCTCTACACACCACTTGGGTAATGGTTCAGGACGGACCGAAACGTCGTCGTCCCTTCACCTTCTAGTGTGTGGTTTGGGTCATCGTGTCTTCAGCCCCGTTATTGTGACTTGTCGTCTGCAAAGGTGAAACTCTACGTCATAGTTCATTTCGTCGGGGTCAAGCAGCCTGTGTCATATACGTTAGGCCTATTCGGACGTTTCACCCCAGGTCAAACTACCGAATTTCCACCCAAGGATGCAACTCCACAACAGCTGCCTAACTACACGGGGTACCTGTTTATTGCTAGGTGAACAGAGGCATCAGCTGATAGAAAACGTGCCCAACCATTTCTCTCCCGGGGCCGGAATTCGCCTTCGGGACTCATAATTGTGAGCCGAGAACGAACCCCGAGTACAGAGACCCGGGTTCAATCCCTCGACTGGGATAAAAACGGTTATATGGACGTTTTCCTGCGCCTGGTGCCTCTGTTCACCCAGCATGAATATATATACACACGGAAATTAGGCAACTATATTGGACTGAATCCCCGGAGAAGGTCACTCGTTGGCCTCAGACGTGACCTCGCTCACCCCACCAGGCTTCCTGTCACCGACTCAACGGTGAGTTATACTTAAAGTTACTGAAACAGCAGTCAGCTTAGACCAGGAAGTGTTGGGGGCGGCGTCGGGAGACCAGCCAAGGCGTCGTGAGACCAGCCGGGGCGTCGTGAGACCAGCCAAGGCGTCGGGAGACCAGCCGGGGCGTCGTGAGAAAACCGCAGAACTGCCTGGAACAAAAAGTTCCAAGCAGCACGGGCTACGGCGAGCCCGCAGTGGACGGCATAGAGTACCTCACCAGAGGATTCAGTTCAATCCCAGGATGCCTGGCTTTGTAACCGTGTCGTGGCGAAGTGGTCTAAGGCGTGTGTTTGGGCACAACCCTGAGCATAGGTTCGAATCCTTTCCATAGCTCCTACTTATTTTCTCATTATTATTATTACTAGTATTAATAATGCACTTTATCATTGTAAGTAAATTTGTGTATGAAATTTTTATGTTACAAGTTTACTATGTCCTGACGAGTGGTGGACAGTGCCAGGGTGAGTGGTGGACAGTGCCAGGGTGAGTGGTGGACAGTGCCAGGGTGAGTGGTGGACGGTGCCAGGGTGAGTGGTGGACAGTGCCAGGGTGAGTGGTGGACAGTGCCAGGGTGAGTGGTGGACAGTGCCAGGGTGAGTGGTGGACAGTGCCAGGGTGAGTGGTGGACAGTGCCAGGGTGAGTGGTGGACAGTGCCAGGGCCAGCAGACGACACAGAAACCCACCATTACATATTCATGGGTCGTGAAAGCACAGGTTGTGAATCAATGATGATGTCTACCTTCCGCTCTGAACCTCAGTGTTTATAACACACACACACACACGCGCGCGCGCGCGTGTGTGTGTGTGTGTGTAAGTGTACTCACCTAGTTGTACTCACCTAGCTGTGTCTGCAGGATCGAGCATTGACTCTTGGATCCCGCCTTTCGAGCATCGGTTGTTTACAGCAATGACTCCTGTCCCATTTCCCTATCATACCTGGTTTTAAAATTATGAATAGTATTTGCTTCCACAACCTGTTCCTGAAGTGCATTCCATTTTCCCACTACTCTCACGCTAAAAGAAAACTTCCTAACATCTCTGTGACTCATCTGAGTTTCAAGCTTCCATCCATGTCCCCTCGTTCTGTTACTATTCCGTGTGAACATTTCGTCTATGTCCACTCTGTCAATCCCTCTGAGTATCTTATACGTTCCTATCATGTCCCCCCCTCTCCCTTCTTCTTTCTAGTGTCGTAAGGCACAGTTCCCTCAGGCGCTCCTCATACCCCATCCCTCGTAGCTCTGGGACGAGTCTCGTTGCAAACCTCTGAACCTTTTCCAGTTTCATTATATGCTTCTTCAGATGGGGACTCCATGATGAGGCGGCATACTCTAAGACTGGCCTTACGTAGGCAGTGTAAAGCGCCCTAAATGCCTCCTTACTTAGGTTTCTGAATGATGTTCTAACTTTTGCCAGTGTAGAGTACGCTGCTGTCGTTATCCTATTAATATGTGCCTCAGGAGATAGATTAGGTGTTATGTCCACCCCCAGGTCTCTTTCACGCGTCGTTACAGGTAGGCTGTTCCCCTTCATTGTGTACTGTCCCTTTGGTCTCCTATCTCCTAGTCCCATTTCCATAACTTTACATTTGCTCGTGTTGAATTCCAGTAGCCATTTCTCTGACCATCACTGCAACCTGTTCAGGTCCTCTTGGAGGATCCTGCAATCCTCATCTGTCACAACTCTTCTCATCAACTTTGCGTCATCCGCAAACATCGACATGTAGGACTCTACGCCTGTAAACATGTCGTTAACATATACAAGAAATAGAATTGGTCCCAGCACTGTGTGAATTGT